GCTACCCGCCTGGCCCGCTCCCGCCGACGGTGCTGCCACCTGCTCACAGGGGTGGTGCCGCTGCGGCCCAGCTGTGCTGTGCGGGACAGGGCTGCAGTCGCAGCCCCTCCCAGGGACCCAGACCGCCCCACGGCTATCGGAGCTGTTGGTCGCTGTTGCCCACGCGGTGCATCCTCTGTTGCGTATGCTCACAGTCCCTCTGGCCACACTTCGAGACTCTTTCAACTCTTCGGAAGCTAGTGACCACCCCAGCCCTCCTGGCCTAAACGAAGTTTTGACGTCCTACAGAAACAATCCAGTACCCTCCACTTTCCTCTGTCTCACGATAGTGTAACATCACACCCATCCGACCTTCTTCTCCATTCTTAGAATTGATCCTACTTCTTGGCAAGGCAAACGCCCTCCGCTTGTGTGTACTGTCGATGACCTTGCCCATTTCACCCCTACTGCATAATTAGCCCTAGTACTAATTCTTCTAATTGTGCGATTATTTGTATCAGTACGATTTTACCATCTTTAATCTTTCCTACTGCCGCTGTCCTTCCGATGGCGGGGCTGGCAAGGTCAGAGCTCCATCGCCCTAAACAAAACCTCTCCTCAACTCTGCACCTCTGCCTTCTCTTTCTCTGTCACTCCCAACTAACCTGCGGTCTCCATAGCTTCGCCAACAGCATTTATTAGCACCTTGGAGATTGCCCTGCCCCCTTTCCTGCACAGTCACTTCCCTACCCATCCAAGTCCAGGTGAAAAAGCCCCTGTTTCCCATTAGTTGGATTGGTTGGTTACATACTCCAGGAGACTAGAGCATTTCTCGTACACATCAATTTTGAGGAAACTGTTATATAATGGGTTCAATATCTGGTTTCCCCCATTAGATTGTAAACTTCTTGATTGCAGGAATTATGTTATGGGTTATATTTTGCAAATAAAAGGCATGCAATAAATGACTGGCTGCTGAAGTCATTTCTTTTCAGCTCAGCCAGCATCCACCCAGAAAAAGTTTGTTTCTGACTTAAGCTGAATTCCTGAACTCAAAGGGATGACCTTTGGTGGGAGAGTGGGGGCAGTATTTAGTGGTGCTTGACTCTTGCCTTTCATGCCTCCACCCAGTTCTCTTTATTCTAAAATGCCCTCTTTGTAGAAATCTCCTTTGTAGTCAGGCCATATAAATCTGAGAAAGAACTTTGGCTTTTGTGTCAGACACACCTAGGCTCAAAGCCATATTCCACTACCTTTTTTTTAAGATTTATTTATTTAGTGTAGAGGAGGGAGGGGCAGGGAGAGGGGGTGGAGAGAGAGAATCTCAAGCAGATTCCCTGCTGAGCATGAAGCCCTACCCCGGGCTCCATCCCAGGACCCTGAGATCATGACCTGAGCTGAAATCAAGGGTTGGACATTCAACCAACTGAGCCACCCAGGTGCCCCCATATTCCATTAGTTTTTTAGAGGACCCTTGGGCAAGTTACTTAATTTTCTGAATCACAACATCTTTGTCTTTGAATTGGAGACCCTGATTTTTCACAGGGCTAATGTGAGGTGTAAGGGAGCCTGGTAAACAGTAGGTGCTAGAAGAGATAGCTCTCTTCCCCTTTGCCTAATTGGGAGACAGACTACAAAATCTTCAAAAGAACTTTAGTTGGATATTCTGTTTCCCTGTCTCATCTCTTCTCTCCCTCATTGCCAAACTTCTCAAAAGAAAGTTCACACTCCAGTGAAATCAGAAATACAAAGGCTGTCAAAGTAAGAACTGAAGTTTGTAAAGTTTTGTATCCTGTCACCTTCTTGCTACTTCTCCTTTCTAGGGGAGTGTGAATGGGACGAGGGGCCTCAGCTTGGAATTTAAGACAGGTTCTTGGTGGCAGGTAGAGCTGAGAGCTGATGAGTCCCTCAAGTGCCAACTGCCCCCCCCCCCCCGTTACAGTTTTCTATGGAAACAAACCGTAGTGCACAAGGCTGTCTTCTCCTGTGCAGCCTGGTGGGGAGATGCTGTAGGGGCTGTTTTCCTACATAGCCCGTGTAGGGGGATCTAGATCCTTGTCCCTTGGTCACAGACTTCTGCTAGTGTGAGATGAGGGACCCTCCTGTCCCTGGCTTGCAGTAGTAAACTCCCTCGCATAGTGTCAAGGATGGGTAAATTCAGGATTCTTAGTGGGCATGAGAAATAAAGTCTGACTAGGGAGCAAGAAACAAGTAGGAGACAAAAGGTCTAGGCTCTGTTCAGGTTGGAGGCCATCAAGATCCCAGAGGTTTCAGTATTCTCTTCAAAAAATGGAGGGGGGCGCCTGGGTGGCTCAGTCGGTTAAGCGTCTGCCTTTGGCTCAGGTCATGATCCCTGGAGCCTGCATCGGGCTCCTTGCTCAGCCTGGAGTCTGCTTCTCCCTCTCTCTCTGGCCCCTGTTCGTGCCCGTCCCCCAAATGAATGAATAAAATCTTAAAAAAAAAAAAAAAAGGAGGGGTTGTCCTATGAAGTCTCTTTCAGCGCCATGAGTCTTTAAAAGCTCAATCTGAAAAGAGGCGTGTGTATTTTTGTGTCTATGTCTGGGGGAAGTGGTGGAGGACTAGCCTGCTCATGGCTTAGAGAACCACTCCTGGTTATGGATGGAGGCTAGCGGTGGTCTAGATAATCCCAAACAGGAAGGGTTACACATTTCTCTGCGGCGTTCAAGGTAGTTTTGGCAGTGAGTGTACTTTTGCCATATGCTTAGCCTAGACTGGAATAGGTATATTCCTTGAGCTACTAATAGGAAATATTGGACTTAAATCCATAGGCTGATAAAACTTTTCCTGTATTACAATAAAACCTCCAACATCTCTTCCTCTCTTTGACCCACACTCAGCTCTACCCTCACTGTAAGAACCCTGAGTCCTGCTCTGCTGCTCCCTCGGTCTCCTTGTTGCCTGAGCAACTGACTTCCAGGCCTGTGGCACCTGGCTCAGGTCATCCTCTCAGACCCGCCAGTGTCCATGCAGATGACCTAATCCACACCCCAATTAAAAAATAAATTGTCTGGTTTATTTTATGTTTTCTTAGAGTCATTTGCATGGTTCAACGTTCAAAAAGTATATTTTATTTTATTTTTTTTTAAAGATTTTATTTATTTGAGAGAGAGAATGAGAGAGAGAGAGCACATGGGGGGGGAGGGTCAGAGGGAGAAGCAGACTCCCCAGTGAGCAGGGCACCCGATGTGGGACTCGATCCCGGGACTCCAGGATCATGACCAGAGTCGAAGGCAACCACTTGACCAGCTGAGCCACGCAGGCGCCCTCAAAAAGCATATTTTACTGAACAGAAAGAGAATCAATACCAGATGGGGATAACTTGCTTGCTTATCAAGAGAATATGTTTGATATTCATTTGGGAGAACATTTTTACCCTGGTGGGGAATAAGGACTCATAAGCAAGTGATAAAAAAATCTATCACCTTGGGAATTCTGGCCAATGAAATTGCTCAAGCAAAATAGCTCAACAAAAATCATTAGACTCCTTGGCCTGGGTAGTTCTGGACAATAGAATGGCCTTAGATTATATTTTGGCAGGACAGGGAGGGATATGCAAGGTAATTAACTCTTCCTGCTGCATTTGCATTAATTCCTCAGCTGAAATAGAAACCCACCTAGACAAGATTAGAGAACAAGCCACTTGGCTGCAACAAATTGCTGCTGAAATCCCAGGAACAGAATGGGATTGGTTTTCTGGTCTGTTTTCCTGGATTCCTCAAGGAATTTGATCAATACTCTGGGCATTAACCCAAGTGGGATTATCTATCTCAGCTGTGCTTTTTATGATTTATCTACTCATAAATGTGGCATGAGTTGCTGCTTAAAAGCAGCAAAAGCAGGAATTAACTTAGTGGTTGTCCAAAGCTTTGAAGTTAGGCCAGGACAGAGGACTTACAGTCAGGAGCAAACCAGTTTCATTCCTCCAGTCGTGATCTTTGCCCCTCTTCAGCAGGAACTAGCTAGAGTTCCTATCCCTCAAGACTGAGGACTGACTAAAGACAAGGATGGGGGGCACTGAGACTGGGGATGCAAGCTCCCACAGACCCCACAGTTTAGACATAGCTGCCTCTGACCAGCCACGTAGCCCGTAGTTACTGTTAAAGAAACCTGTAAGATTGCCTCAGGAAATCACATTCTGTTGCCTCTGAAAAGTCTGTGGGATGCTGTTCTGCCTGAGATGATAAACATCATGTGCCACGTTTGCAAGAAAAGAAATAATAGTTTGCAGCTTAGTAATAGTCACAGGATATAAAACTTCTGCCTTTGTACTCTAGAGGTGACATCACTAAACATAATCTGCCGAGAACGTTTTGCAGTTCCAGGCCCCTAAAGAGGAACAACCAGGCCCCTGCTGCAGAACGACCGCCTCACTACAAATCGCACCAGAACCAGACAAGGAGATGCCAAACGGAAGAAGATGATCAAGAAAGGAAATATTATAGTCGACCTAATCGCCAATCAATCAGCATGATCCAAGACCCTTACCCTGAATTTTCACCCTTTATTTTATTATTTTATTTATTTTTTTGTTTTTAAGATTTTATTTATTTGACACAGAGAGAGTGTGAGCTGGGGAGGAGCAAGGGGATGGGGAGAAGCAGGCTCTCGCTGAACAGGGAGCCCGATGTGGGGCTCCATCCCAGGACCCTAGGATCATGACCTGAGCTGAAGGCAGATGCTTAACTGACTGAGCCACCCAGGCGCCCTTATTTTATTTTATTTTTTAAAAGATTTTATTTATTTATTTGAGAGAGAGAGAGTACGAGCTGGGGTCAGAGGGGCAGAGGGAGAGGGAGAAGCGGGCTCCCCACTGAGCAGGAAGCCCAACTCAGGGTTGATCCCAGGACCCCTGATCATGACCCAAGCCAAAGGCAGCCGCTTAACCAACTGAGACACCAAGGAAGGCACCCCTGAATTTTCACACTTAAAAAACCCCTGCTTGGAAGCCAATGGGGAGCTTAGGCCTCTGAGCATTAGCTCTCCGTTCCCCTGGGTGATGCCACACCAATAAATAGCCTATTTTTCTTTGCTCCCAAAACAAACAAAACCCAAACCCAAAAGTAATGAAAACAAAACCCCGAAAAACAACCAACTAAAAAAATAAAACAAAAATCAAAACCCCCAAACCCACAAAATTCAGAAAGTGTAAAAGGGTACATACTGAAAGGCCTCCTGCTACCTCCCCACCCAGTTCCCCTGCCCTCCCGCCACCAATATTATTTGTTTCTTCAAAGTTGTTTGACCTTCTGACAACTTTTATCTTCATTCCATTTCATCCACTTTCTTGTCAGGCTCGCCCTCTGGTGATTGACAGCATCTGGAACTTCCTCCTTTCTGAAATTTGGAATGCCAGCGCACCATTCTCTGAGTAGCCCTCGGATCTCTCCCTCCTGGGGGACAGTGAGTATACCTGCCCCACTCTCCAGGGAGACCTCCAGGCATCTCGTCTTCCCCTTTCTCCCTGTCCAGCCAAGAGAGCACTCACATGCAGCACTCAGCTGCTATGACCTAGCAGCACCCTTTAGTTGGGTTCTTGGTGCCCCTTGGTGCACTTGGAAGAGCCCCTCTGCCCCCCACTCCTGAGCCGCCACCCCTCTCCCTATCCCCTTCTCCCAGCAGACTGAAGTGCCCTCCTTCACGCTCCAAACATCTCTTTCTTTGCTCATCCTTATTTCCCTTTCCTTAATTTCAGAGCCTGTTGAAAGCCCATCCATCCTTCCTACATCCCATTCTTTTTTTTTTCTTTTAAAGATTTTATTTATTTATTTGTCAGAGTGAGAGAGCACAAACGGGGGAGTGGCAGGCAGAGGTAGAAGCAGGCTCTCTGCTGAGCAGGGAGCCCAATGCGGGGCTCGATCCCAGGACCACGGGATCAGGACCTGAGCTGAAGGCAGACACTTAACTGACTGAGCCACCCAGGCGTCCCCCTACATCCCATTCTTAACCTTGCTTTGTTTCTTGCTCTCCTGGGCTTTATACTCGCCCCTTTATTTTTAAACCCAGACAAGACTTTGCTGCCTTAAAAGAAAAAATCCTTCTTCAGCCTGGTCCCTCTCGGCTGCCACCACATCTTACCTTATCCTTTTCAGCACAGCCAGCATTCCGACTGTCCCCCACGCCTTCGTGCTCATCCTCTCTCCTAAGAATATATATTGTGAATACATTATATACATAGAAGAACGTATAAAATGAGCATGTAGAGTTAAAGACAAATGAAAACAAGGGGCACCTGGGTGGCTCAGTCGGTTAAGCATCTGCCTTCGGCTCAGGTCATGATATCAGGGTCTTGGGATCGAGCCCCACATCGGGCTCCCTGCTCAGCAGGAACCTGCTTCTCCCTTTCCCTCTGCTGCTCCCCCTGCTTGTGCGCTCTCTCTCTCAAGTAAATAAATAAAGTCTTAAAAAAAAAAAAAAAGACAGATGAAACAGAATACCTGGGCACCTGACCACAGCTTAAGAAATAAATTCCCAGGACCTTAGATGTCCTGTGGGCTCCACACTGACTGCATCCCTCTCCCTTCCTGCAGGGTGACCTCTACCCTGAATTTCTTAAGTATATGTCCGTTTCTTGTCTTCATAATTTCACTATCTATGCATGTTGTAGGTATTCCTAAATAGCATGCTGTTTAGCTTTGTGTGTTCGATCTTCACATAGATGGAATCATATGTTACGTATTTTTTTCTGGAGCAGGCTTTTTAACTCATTCTGATTTTGTTGGGTTGTATAGTTGTAATTCATTCACTTCCTTTCTATTGCATACTTACACCACAATTAATTAATCCATTGTCCTGCTGATGGACATTTGCGTTGTTTAAAGATTTATTTATTTGAGAGAGAGAGAGCAAGAGCAAGCAGCGGGAGGGGCAGAGGAGAGGGAGAGAGAATCTCCAGCAGACTCCCTGTTGAGCATGGAGCCTGATATGGGGCTCGATCTCACAATCCTGAGATGACCTGAGCCGAAATTGAGTCGGACACTCAACCGACTGAGCCACCCAGGCGCCCCACATTTGTGTTGTTTAAACTGGTCGTTATCACAACAATGCTGCTGTGAGCCCTCTTTTACTCTTCTCTGAGTGGGACATGTAAGCTTCTCCAGGGCAGCAGGCTTCAAACTAGGGACCTATATCCCTGTGGTGCAAGAGGACTGTCCAAGGAGTAGGTGGACCTGGATAGATGTGAGGGAACCCTTTTCAGATCTGACTCTCCCAAAAGGCATAGGGTCCTGAGGAGACCCCTGTGAAGGAGAAACCCTTGCCCCATCCCCTTGCCCAGCCTTCCCTTACCACAGAAACTAGGCCCCAGGGGCATTCAAGAGGGTCAAAACACCAGGGCACCAAAGGGACAGTTCCAGAATCTGTGTTGGTTCTGAGAAAGTGAGTGACCTAGCGACATCATTCTGCAAGTCAGCTACTTTCTCTGTCCTTTCAACAAAGTTGAGTGTTAGCTGATTTATTTATTGTTTTATCCTTTTTATTATTGAGGTGAAATAGATATAACATAAAATTAACCATTTTGAAGTGAACAATTTAGTGGCATTTAGTGCATTCACAACGTTGTGCAACCACCACCTCTATCCACCTCTATCTCGTTCGAAAACATTTTCATCACCCCAGAAGAAACCTGTACCCACTAAACAGTTGCTCCCTTCCTCCCTCCAGCTCTCAGCAACCCCCAGTATGTATCCTGTTTCTCTGGAACTATCTATTCTGCTGGATATCTTGTGTAAATGGAATCATGCACTATGTGGCCCCGGGTGTGGCTTCTTTCACATAGCGTAATGCATGTCTATGCATGCTGTAACGTGGATTGGTACTCCCTCCCTTTTTATGGCCGACTGATATTCCAGTGTATGGATATACCACAACTGGTTTGTTCATTCCTCCGTTGATGGATGTTTGGGCCATTGCCACCTTTTGGCGACTGTGACTAGTGCTGCTATGCACATGTATTTGTTGAGTACCTGTTTTTAGTTTTTTGGGGATATGTACCTAGGAGTTGGATTTCTGAGTAATTCTTTTTTTTTTTTTTT